TGGGATCAGCCCTAGCTAGATCAGCCCTGGTGGGATCAGCCCTGGCGGGATCAGGTCCCTCTGGAGCAGCCCCGCTTTGTCCATGAGCTCAGCACAGCTCTGACTTTTGCTCTGCCCCTTTTTCTCCCCTTTTCTCTCCCCTTTTTTCCCCCTTTCCCCTTCCCCACGGGGCTGGAGCTGTGTTTGGGATTCCGATGCGGACAGGCGCTCAGCCCCAGCTCCTTTCCCTTGCCCAGCACTACCAGATCCCAGCTCCACTCCCCAAACCCAGGCAGCTCCAGCACCGGCAACATCCCTGCGGTGGCAGCAGCGCCGTGACAACGCCACGGCCACCCCGGCACGGCTCTTACCCCGGCACTCCGCGTCCGCCACGGCCGTGCACTCCCGCACCAGCACCTCGTTCTCCTCGCACGTGGTGCAGGGCAGGCAGGGATCCACGAAGTTGGCCTCGCTGGAGAAGGTGCCCTCGGGGCACTCCTCGCACACCGTGTCCTGCGAGTCCTTGCAGGGGAACATGAGGCCGAAGCCCACCTCGCAGACGCGGCACTCGCGGCAGCTGCCGCTGGCCTCGTCCTGGAAGTAGCCGTAGGCGCAGCGGCACACGGCGTCGTCGGTCTCCACGCAGGGCGCCGACATGCTCTGCAGCCCCTCGCACTGCGTGCACGGCTTGCACGGCTCCGTGGCGCTGGCCGTGTCCGAGAAGGTGACGCCTGGCAGCGGGGGGGTGGTTGGGGTCAAAGCCCGGCTTCTGCTCATCCCCCCCCATCCCACCCCATGGATCCCATCCCATCCCAACACATCCCATCCAATGGATCCCACCCCATCCCACCCCATCCCATGGACCCCATCCCAAATTCCCCATGCCCTCTCCAGGCCTTTGCCCATTGCCAGGGCCAGGCCACGTCCCCCAGCCCATCCTGGAGTGACGCTGAGCTGGGAATTGCAGCAGGAGATGGGACCTCACCCTGTCACCCCCCTGCCACCCCCCTGCCACGCCCCAGGATCAGCACCAGGCTGGGACTGTGCCAGGCTGGGATTGTGCCGGGCTGGGATTGTGCTGGGATAGGATTGTGCTGAACTGGGATTGTGCCAGGCTGGGATCATGCCAGGCTGGAATTCAGCCCTGGGGCCGCAGCGCTGTCGCTGTCACTGTCGCTGTCACTGTCACGGGGGGGTTGCTGGGGGTTGGTGGCATCCTGCCCTGCCGTGTCCCGGCCCCCGCTGCCCTCCGGGAGCCGCTCCCGAGCCCGCCACGGACAAAGCCGGCCCTGTGTCCTTGACTTGTGGCTCCATTTACTCGACCCCTCGGCGGGAGCTGCCCCGCTGCCGGCTCGGCGGCGGCCGGGACAAAGAGCTGTTCTCCCGCTGTGCTCGGGGCAGGGAGGGACAGGACGCTGGAACCGCCCGGGAACGCTGCGGCGAGGCCGAGGAGAGCCGGAGGGAGCGGCTCTGGTGGGATCAGTCCTGGTGGAAACAGCCCTGGTGGGAACAGCCCTGCTTGGAACAGCCCTGGTGGGATCAGTCCTGGTGGAAACAGCCCTGGTGGGAACAGCCCTGGTGGGAGCAGCCCTGGTGGGATCAGCCCCTTCTGGAGCAGCCCTGTTGGGATCAGCCCTGGTGGGAACAGCCCTGGTAGAACAGCCCTGGTGGGATCAGCCCTGGTAGAACAGCCCTGGTGGGATCAGCCCTAGCTGGATCAGCCCTGCTGGGATCAGCCCTGGTGGGATCAGCCCCCTCTGGAGCAGCCCTGGTGGGATCAGCCCTGGTGCACAGCTCTGACTTTTGCTCTGCCCCTTTTTCTCCCCTTTTCTCTCCCCTTTTTTCCCCCTTTCCCCTTCCCCACGGGGCTGGAGCTGTGTTTGGGATTCCGATGCGGACAGGCGCTCAGCCCCAGCTCCTTTCCCTTGCCCAGCACTACCAGATCCCAGCTCCACTCCCCAAACCCAGGCAGCTCCAGCACCGGCAACATCCCTGCGGTGGCAGCAGCGCCGTGACAACGCCACGGCCACCCCGGCACGGCTCTTACCCCGGCACTCCGCGTCCGCCACGGCCGTGCACTCCCGCACCAGCACCTCGTTCTCCTCGCACGTGGTGCAGGGCAGGCAGGGATCCACGAAGTTGGCCTCGCTGGAGAAGGTGCCCTCGGGGCACTCCTCGCACACCGTGTCCTGCGAGTCCTTGCAGGGGAACATGAGGCCGAAGCCCACCTCGCAGACGCGGCACTCGCGGCAGCTGCCGCTGGCCTCGTCCTGGAAGTAGCCGTAGGCGCAGCGGCACACGGCGTCGTCGGTCTCCACGCAGGGCGCCGACATGCTCTGCAGCCCCTCGCACTGCGTGCACGGCTTGCACGGCTCCGTGGCGCTGGCCGTGTCCGAGAAGGTGACGCCTGGCAGCGGGGGGGATGGTTGGGGTCAAAGCCCGGCTTCTGCTCGCTGGGCTCAGAGGGAGAGGGGTCCCCGCTCTGTGCCCCAGCCCAGGATCAGCTGCCCGATAATGCCTTCCCCTTTCCACAGCAATTCCCAGCTCCTCATCTCCCGGGCTCTTCAGCACGTTCACACCTTCCCCTTTCCACAGCAATTCCCAGCTCCTCATCTCCCAGGCTCTTCAGCCCGTTCACACCTTCCCCATTCCCCTGCAATTCCCAGCTCATCATCTCCCGGGCTCTTCAGCCCGTTCACACCTTCCCCATTCCCCTGCAATTCCCAGCTCCTCATCTCCCAGGCTCTTCAGCCCGTTCACACCTTCCCCATTCCCCTGCAAGTCCCAGTTTGGAGCATCTTTCCAGGTTCATCTTCCCATTGACACCTTCCCCGTTCCCACCACAATTCCCAGCTCTGAGCACACTCCAGGCTCCCATTCCCATTGACACCTGCACCATTCCCATCACAATTCCCAGCTCTGAGCACCCTCCATGCTCCCATTCCCATTCACACCTGCACCATTCCCCTGCAATTCCCAGCTCCTCATCTCCCGGGCTCTTCAGCCCGTTCACACCTTCCCCATTCCCCTGCAATTCCCAGTTTGGAGCATCTTTCCAGGCTGCTCCCCTTCCCATTGACACCTGCACCATTCCCATCACAATTCCCAGCTCTGAGCACCCTCCATGCTCCCATTCCCATTGACACCTTCCCCGTTCCCATCACAATTCCCAGCTCTGAGCACCCTCCATGCTCCCATTCCCATTGACACCTTCCCTATTCCCACCACAATTCCCAGCTCTGAGCACCCTCCAGGCTCCCGTTCCCATTGACACCTGCGCCATTCCGATCACAATTCCCAGCTCTGAGCACCCTCCAGGCTCCCGTTCCCATTGACACCTGCACCATTCCCATCACAACTCCTAGCTCCCAGCACCTTCCCGCCTGGAATTCTCAGCTGTGAGCATCCACCAAAGGTCCCCATTCCTCATTCCCGCAGAAATTCCCAGCTCCGCATCTCCCAGGCCCTTCAGCCCATTCACACCTCCCGCATTCCCCAGCAATTCCCAGTTTGGAGCATCATTCCAGGCTCATCTTCCCAGTAACATCTTCCCCATTCCCACCTCCTCATCCCATTCCCTCCTCCTCAACCCATTCCTTCCTTCCCATCCCATTCCCTCCTCCCCATCCCATTCCCTCCTCCTCATCCCATTCTCCTCATCCCATTCCCTCCTCCTCATCCCATTCCCTCCTCAATTCCCAGCTCCCCGGGTCCATCCCTCCTGCTCTGCCCCCAGTGCCCATCCCAGCGCTCTCTGCTCAGTCCCCGCCATAATTCCCGGTTTTATTCCCCTTTCCCGGCGGTCCCTCCGGGCATCCCGCGGCCATCCCCGCCCCTCACATCCCATCTCTTTCCCCTCCGCATCCTGCCGGGGGTCCCCGGGGTCCCGCGTGTCCCCGCTCGGGGTGCGACACGCGGGAGGTGACAGCGCTGACCCCGCAGGACGCGCTGCTGCGGGGAAATCGATCCCGCGCCTCGCCGTGTCCGCTCCCGGAGGAATTCGGGGATATTTTTAGCTCCGGAAGAGGGAGCGGAGCCCGTCCCGGAGGGCGCAGCTGCCGCTGCCCCCGCGCTGGCCGCTCCCGGTGATCCCACCGCCCCATCCCGGGGAAATTCCAGCCCCAGGGGTGGGAAAGGGGCCGGGGAGACCGGCCGCCATCCCTGCGACCCCTGGGATGGTGCTGGGGATGGATTCCTGCTCCCAGCAGCTTCCCCGGGGTCTCCGGGTTGCTCGGGACGGGAATTTCGGGCTGCTCCGGAGGGGGATGCAGCCCCAAACCCCCGGGAATGAGCCGGGTGGGGGGGACGGAGGTTCAACCCCAGCCTCGGCAGCGGATTTTTCCCACCCCCACCACCTTCCCTCACCCTGTGCCTGGGTGTCCTGCCCCTCCCCCGAGGCTTTCCCTGGATCTGCAGAGGACGTGGAGACCCAAAATCCCGGAATGCTTTGGATCGGGAAGGACCCCAAACCCCACCGAGTCCCGGGCCGGGGACACCCGCCGCTATCCCAGGCTGCTCCCGAGCCCATCCTGGGACACTCCCGGGGACGGGGCTGTCCCGGGCACGCTGTCGCTGTCACTGCCAGCCCCCGGTGGCCGAGCAGCCCCCGGCCCGTGCCCGGCCGGGCGAGCAGAGCCGGCGCAGCCCTGGGGCGGCACACGCGGCTCCCATTAACCCGGGCTCATGCCTCGCATTATCCTGAATTATTGATGGGCGCCATTAGAGCGGGGAAGTGGCCAGGAAAGGCTTTCGGCTGAGTGGGCACATTTGCAGTGGCAGCCGAAGGTATCTGAGCTGAGCAATTACAGCCCGGACCAAAACGGGGCCCTCGCCCCCTCCCCTCCCTCCCCCGGAGGGATAAATAAATCATGAGGCAGCACCCGGGCACTTGGGGGGGCTGGAATGGGGGGGGAAAGGGGGAATTAGAGCAAACCCCCCTTTTGGGGTGGTTTCTGGCAGCCCCCCGGGCTTTGGCGGGGGCCGGGCTTTGGTTGCAGCGGATTTTTTCCGGAACAATTCCCCCGGCGGGGTCGGGAACGCGTCCAAGGGAGTGCTGGGAGGAGGCAGCCCGGGGGGCAGGTGGGGACCCTCGGCCCTGGGCCGTGCCCACATTCCTGGGGCTCGGCTGGAGGCTGTGCCAGCAGCGGGGCTGCCTCCACCTGCCCGGCCCTGGCAGCGGCATCCGGGGGGATCCGGGGGGTCACACAGGGATCCGGGGGGTTCCAGAGGGATCGGGGGGGGGGGGGGGGGGGGGGGGGGGGGGGGGGGGGGGACGGGGGGGGGGGGGGGGGTCACAGAGGGATCCGGGCAGTTCCAGAGGGATCCGAGGGGTCCCAGAGGGATCCGGGGGGATCTGGGGGGGGTCACAGAGGGATCCGGGGAGTTCCAGAGGGATCTGGGGGATCTGGGGGGTCACAGAGGGATCTGGGGGGTTCCAGAGGGATCTGGGGGGGGGGTCACAGAGGGATCCAGAGGGATCCAGAGCCACAGGGGCC